CTGGTGAAATTCCTCCACAAAGCTGATTTTGGGGTTGGGAGCAGCTTGAGTTTGTCAGGAAACTGAGTTCAGGAGAGAAAACCTAAACTAGTATTTGGGGTTTGGTCTTTAATGAGTCAAAATAAATCCAGAGCGAGTTTAAGACTTTTTAAATTCCTCTCCAAGCCCTGAACAATCCCAGGGGACCCCAAAAGTCCCTCAGTAGAGAGAAATCAGAATCCTGTAGTCATGGAATGGTTTGGGTTGGAAGAGACCTCAAAGTTCATCCGATGCCACCCCCATCCATGGCAGGGACATCTCCCACTGTCCCAGGTGGATCCAACCTGGCCTTGGACACTGCCAGGGATCCAGGGGCAGCCACAGCAAATCTGGGAATCCCAGACCAATCTCCCCTTTCCCAGTGGGAGCCATTCCCTGTGTCCTGTCCCTCCAGGCCTTGTCCCCAGGTCCCCTCTGCAGAGCTGGACCAGTTCCCCCCCAAATTAGGGACATTCACCCAAAATGAGGCCACCCAGCCAGGTCACTTGGGAACAAGACAAACTGGAGGGGGGACACAGTGTCACCCACTGGGGTCTCACACCAATTTCCATGGAATTATGGGGTGGTTTAAGGTGAAAATCCCTCAGAGACCATCGAGTCCAACCATTCCACTGCCCATGTCCCCAAATGCCACATCCACAGGGCTGTTAAATCCCTCCAGGGATGGGGAATTAGCCACTGCCAGGACTGGGCAACCCTTTCCACGAAGAAATTTTCCCAAAATCCAACCTAAACCTGGCACAGCCTGAGGCTGCTCCCTCTCATCAATTCCCAGCGAGCAGAACCCGACCCTTCCCGACTCCACCCTCCTGTCAGGGAATTGTGCAGAACCAGGAGGTCCCTCCCAATCCCATTTTTTTCCCCCCCTCGGGACCTCATTCCAGGTGATGCCGGCGCTAGGACCCGGCGCTGGAGCCTGCGCCCTGCACGGCTGCACCACCGCAGCCCCCGCAGCCCCCTCCTTCCCACCCCCGACCCCGCGGGATCATCCCGGCGCATTCCCGGCGCATTCCCGGCTCCACCGGGGGAATCGATGATGCTCCGTAGCCACAGCAACGCCCGGACACGCCGAGGATGCAGAAGGGAGGTCAGTGGATTTCAGCTCATCCCCATCTCTGACACCCCGCGGGATTCCCGGCTCATTCCAACTGGGATCATTCCCAGGAAAAGCTGATTGAACCGCTCGGTCCTCAGGGAATGGGAGCGACAGAACTGCTCGTTCCATGCAGAACTTTGCTCGGCTGCTGGAGCCGAAATCCCTGGATTTCTACCCTCCCAAACCCCCTCGAATCTTGCTCCGAGCAATCCCCAGCTTTAAACTTTATTCCCTCATTCCTTATGGAATTCCTGACCAGCCCCTTCCCTCAGAGGGTTGGTAAATGACGGCATGGAGCAGGTGGGGGGAAATACCCAGGGCTGGAAGTCATTCCATAATCCATAAACCCCAATTCATCAAAGCCCAAATCCCTCCAAAAAAAAACCCCAATCCATCAAAACCCCAATCCCTGGAAAATCTGGGAGCAGAGCTCTCTGCACCATGCCAAGGGGACAATCCAGCCGTGCACGCAGTTCCCACATCCCTGCCATCCTCACCACCCATACCCTTCCCTGTTTTCCATTCTTTAGGCATTTTCCTCTGGAAAACTAAGGAATGGGTGCAAAAACCCTCCCAAAATTTTGTCTCAGCAGTTCCCGGGTGGGATTTGAGGCTCTGGAGAATCAGCACAATGTGACCCCCACCTCGGGACAACCCCAGAATCCAGAGCTCCCTATGCTGAAATCCATTAAAATCCCTCCTTTTGCCCCTTAAATACACCAAAGGAATTTAATCCTTGTGTTTATTCCCAAAGCCACCACCCAGCTCCGCGTTTGGGAATGGAGGGAGAAAGGAAAGAACGAAGGAATCGCTCCAAGGTCACCTGGGCAGGTGACAAACACCCAGCACATTCCAGAAATTCCCGATGAGCTCGCACAGACCCGGAATTTTTAAAAACCAACACGGGAACCCAAAAAATGCTGCATGAAATCGGGGCCTGTCTGAAGTGGAACAGCCCAGGAAGGTCCTTCTTGACAGGAATTCTGGAATTCCGGAATTTCCTGACCAGTCCAGAGGGAGGCATTGCACCTTTGGAGCCACCAGGACCAACACACCTCACACAGGTAAATGGCCCTGCCTGCATTTCATCCCGTAATTAATCATTATTCATTCATTGATACAAATAATTAATTATTCATATTATGCTAATGAGGGCGGGTCGTGCTCCGCCAGAATTCCCAGCACACAGAATCCCCTGCTGGAAGATCCTGTGCTTTTCCTGGATCCAAGACCGGGAATATCCATCCGTGCCTGCCACGCGTAATGAGCTCCCCCCAATTAGCCCGGGCATTAATTACCCCGCCGGGCTGAGTCATTCCTGCTTTCCCTCCAGATCAAACTTTCCCAATCCCGGACCGAAATCCCAACAGGGAAGCGCCGCCCTCATCCCATCACTGACCACCCCTCATACAAAACTCAAACACTCCTAAATGCCCCCAAACGCCCCTAAATCCCCCCCAAACATCCCCCACAACCCCTAAATTCCCCCAAAGACCCTTAAATCCTCCCAAACACCCCCATAGACCCCTAAATACCCCTGCAGATCCCCCCCACAACCCCTAAATGCCCTCAAACATCCCTAAATCCACCCCCGAACACCCACACAGACACCTGCACATCTCCATAAACCGCTCCCAGACCCCGAACACTCCCACAGATCCACCCACCCACCCCTAAATCACCCCAAGAACAACCCCGTACCCCCGTGAAGATACATAAACCCCTTTAGAGCCCCACAAATCCCTTACACAGAACCCTCCCAACACCCCCTAGAACATATACACCCCCACAGAGCCCCAGAAATTCTTCACACAGACCCCAAACACTCCCCAGACCCTTTGGAATCGCTCAGGCATCCCTCCATAATTCCCTAAACCTTCTCCAACACCCCCATAGGCGCCTCCAAATCCCCATAAATCCTTCACAAAGACCCCCGCACACCCTTTTACACCACCCCACACCCACGTAGAGACCCCATCACCCCTTTAAACCCCCGCAGACCCCCCTAAACCCCTCACTCAGACCCCCGAACACCCCTTCACACCCCCTCAGACCCCTCACACACCCCCCCGACACCCCTTTATAACCCCACACCACCCCCACACAACATCCCAGACGCCCACAACGAGGGTCGCTCGGCTTCTCACCAACACCGCGACACCTCTCACTTTTTCCCCAGCCCCAAATCCACACCTCCCGCCATCCCCGAGACCCTACGGGAGACCCCGACCTCCCCCCAGGCCTCTCCCGGTACCTCCGGCCCGGCCGCTCCCGGCGCCGTCGACCCCGCCCGGTAATAGGCCCCCCCTCGGGCTGCCCCGCGCGGTGCCTGACGCCCAGCGCGGCC